AAAGAAGCTTTTAATGACATTTCCCAGGCCCCCAAGGTTGCTTTCTGTATTTAATTAATTATCATAAAAGTATCTAATTAGTATATTATGAATTCAGTGAAAACCCTCTATAAACGTTTGCTTAAAATTTAACTATAGAATTAAGTAAAAACCTTAACGATTAATCTATATCCTAAGTCTGTGAAGACAGTGTTATAAATCACCTACATAACTCCTAGATAAGTGTTAGAACTTATAATGAGCTCATAATGAACTTACCATAAACTTGTGCTTCTAAAAAACCTTATGTCTGAACACTAAGCTGCATAATTCTAAAACATAAGGAATGAATATACTAATATCTTTTTATTCAAGCAATATCTAGTAACTTATAACCAAGTGAAAGAAAGCATTCTTGATGTGCTTCAGAGTTTAACCCTTGCATATGTTAGAAAAGGCCAAGCGGCATAGTGGGAAAATGGGAAAATGAACCATGACATTCTCAGGTTAGGTGTGAGTACTTCGCATAAACATGCCATTTTCTTCTTCCACGACTGCACAGAATTTCTTCAGCCGTGTCAAACAGCAAAGGTGGAAGACAGAAGGGCCTCAGCTTCCCGGGCTCTCCCTGCGGCCCAGGGTCTTCGGCCCACTGGGACCCTGTCAATCATGTGGACCTCCAAGACTGGCTCCCCACAGTATTCTGTCTTTTTTTTTTTTTAGTATTTTTTTTTGTATGTTCTTTCAATAAAGAAAAATTATCCAGATGTGTGGTGCATGCCTGTAGTTCCAGCTACATGGAAGGCTGAGGCAGAAGGATCGCCTGAGCCCAGCAGGTTGAAACTGCGGTGGCCATGAGTATGCCACTGCACTCCAGCCTGGGTGACTGGTCTTGAACCCCTGGGCTCAGGCAATCCTCTTGCCTCTGCCTCCCCAATTTTTTTTTAGTCTGCTGCTAATACCATTGATGTTACTTGTTAAAATTTTAGTAGTAGGCTGGGCTCGGTGGCTCAGCCTGTAATCCCAGCACTTTGGGAGGCTGAGGTGAGTGGATTGCCTGAGCCTGCGGGTTCGAGACCCGCCTGGGCAACTTGGGGAGACCTCATCTCTACAATAAATCAAAAAAATCAGCAGGGCGTGGTAGCGCGCGCCTGTAGTTCCAGCTACTTTGAAGGCTGAGGCGGAAAGATCGCCGGAGCCCAGCAGGTCGAGGCTGCGGTGGCCGGGAGCAGCCACTGCACTCCAGTCTGGGTGACAGAGTGAGAATCCAACTCAATAAAATAAAATAAATAAAATTTTAGTAGTATACTTCATCTATAAATTGAATGATGGGCCGGGTGCAGTGGCTCATTCCTATAATCCCAGCACTTTGGGAGGTCTAGGTGAGAGGATTTCCTGAGCCCATGGGTTAGAAACCAGCCCAGGCGACTTGGCAAGACCTCACCTCTACAACAAATCAAGAAAAATTAGCTGGGTGTGGTGGCGCTTGTCTGTAGTTCCAGCTACTTGCAAGGCTGAGGCAGGAGGATCGCCTGAGCCCAGCAGGTTGAGGCTGTGGTGACTGTGAGCATACCACTGCCCTCCAGCCTGGGCGACAGAGCGAGACTCCTATTCAAAAAAAAAAGAACAACAACTGAAAGATGCCCTGACTTTTGAGGGTGGGGAGATAGTTCTTAGTGATTTATTCTACTATTTCTAATGTAATTCATCTCTTTAGAAACCAGTTTGGTAACATTTTCCTTGAAAATTTTCTAATGTGTATGTGTAGATGAATATGGTACTCATATTTCCTTTTAACTTTGTATCTTATTTCGTGTTCTTTGTATTGATTTCTTTGTTCTTTCCTATAGGAACAGGAAATATAGTGGTCATTATGATTAGCTACCCAAAAGGAAGAGAAATTTTGGAGCTGGTACATCAAGGAATCCCAGTGAAGATGACCATAGGCGTTGGCACCCGCCACGTACAGAAGTTCATCAGCGGCCAATCCGTGGTATTTGTGGCCATCGCTTTTATCACCATGATGATCATTTCATTAGCCTGGCTCATATTTTACTATATACAGCGTTTCCTGTATACTGGCTCACAGTTTGGAAGTCAGGTAACGATGGATAACTCTTTTCACTTTAGCTTTTTTTTTATTTTTTTTTTTTTTTTTTGGTTGCTAATTAATTGATTTTGGGGGGCTTTGTTTTTTTTTGCAGATCTGTAGAGTTCAAACTTTTGCTTTTTAAAAAATATTTTAAAAATATGTCCATGTATGAGGGAGGACCCCTCCAAAAAAGGAATTCATTTTTGGAAAGTAGCCCCTTGTAGTATAGGCTTATCCCACTAGGTAAGTGTTCTAGGAATCCATCGGCATCAGTGTACCAGCTAGCATTGTTGCAAGAGACTGTCATGAATTTTTTTTTTTTTGGAAATTCTTTCAACATGATCTTAGCCCAAGCCACTTTTTCTTGTTTCCCCGGATGAAAAAAATCCTCAAAGGGAAATGTTTTGCTGATATGGAGGAGGCGAACAAAAAACGGCAGAAGCACTAAAAGACATCAAAATGACAAATTCAAAAACCTTTGGCAGTGAAAAAAGCATCACAGTAGGTACATTGCATCAAGTAGAGAGTACTCTGAAGGTGACTGAAGCTTAAACATGTAAGAATGCACACAGTTTTTAATAAATAAATTCCTGGTATGTTTGGGTCCCCCCGCATATACTGCTGAAGTGACATTTGACCGTATCCTTAATTTTATTTTCGCTCATTTAATTATCTGTATCACTTTTCAAAAGTAACTTTTTATTCGAGCATATTAAAGTTTGATTGCGTGGGAAATTAGATCGCGTTTTGCGCGTCTGGTCCTGCCGGCGCCCTTTTTGTCCTTTTCCAAACTTGAAGGGTGGTGAAGAGGCACGAGACAATGGGCCTGCTCTCTGTGGCCCTGGTTCTCTGGGCGGCCTAAAGGCAGGGAGCGGAGGGGACAGGCCTCCCTGTCTCGTTGCGGAGCAGTTGTAAAGCCATCTGTCTGTCTGTGGCAGCAGAGAGGAGGACAGCCAAAGAGCCAGAGGCCTCCCGGAGCAGGCCTTCGTCAGGAAAGGGGGACCTTCCTGATTTGATGACGAGGAAGGGCCTTTTCCTGTTCGAAACCTCGCTAGATGGGTGCATGATGCCACTGTACTCAGCTTGTTGTTTTCTTGCTGATATTTAAACTTAAGGATCAGTTTCTTCTACTCACATGGAATTGAATATAAGAGTAGTCGATCAAACAGTTCTAAGTTACATATAGCTGCTCTGTATATTAAGGTTTACATGGCTTTTGTTGTTGCTTTTGGTTTTTTACTTTCAGCATAGTTATTTAACTTTGCCTTTTAAATGAATTTTTTTCTCTATACTTGCTTTTTGTAATTTTTTTTAAAAAGTGATTTCATTTAATAAATGTTTTCAATAACAGTAATAATATTTTCCTACCCAAGAGCCATAGAAAAGAAACTAAGAAAGTTATTGGCCAGCTTCCACTTCATACTGTAAAGCATGGAGAAAAGGTAATATCTTCATGGTTTGGCTTTTGTTTTGTGGTTTAGATCAGAGAATGTGTCCTTATGTGCTCATTTTAAAGAAGGGTTAGCAGAAATATTCTATCATGTGAGAAGAGCCTTCCAGACTTGCGCTATTGAATATGGTAGCCACTAGTCACCTGTGGCTTTTTAAGTTAATTTAAATGAATTACATTTAATCAAGTTTCTCAGTCAAACTAGTGGCGCTTGAAGCTCTCAGAGAGCAGCCTTGGCTGGTTGTTGCCATATTGGACAGCTCTGACATTCCCAGCAGTGCAGGAAGTTGTATTGGTCAGTCCCAGATAACAGTAAAGAGGCTAAAGAATGTCATGTCTATCCTAGACGCTTGGTACCTTAAATTCATTCTGTTAAGTCTGAGACTACATGTCTCTGATTCCATTAGTTACAAGGTGAAAATAATGAGATTTGTGGAAAAGGTATTTTTAAAACTACTTTTTAAAAAAAGAAACATTTTGACATGACCAATCTCACCAATGTGAGATTTTTTTTTTTTTTAATTGGAGTCTCACTCGAGTGCAGTAGCACACTCACAGCCACTGCACCCTCGACCTGCTGGGCTCAAGCTATCCATCCACCTCAGCCTTCTAAATAGCTGGAACTACAGGCACGTGCCAGCACGCCTGGCTCATTTTTTGATTTATTGTAGAGACGAGGTCTTGCCAAGTTGCCGAAGCTGATCTCGAACCCCTGGGCTCAGGCAGTCCTCTCGCCTCGGCCTCCCAAAGTGCTAGGAGTATAGGTGTGAGCCTCCAGGCGTGGCCCGCCACGAGTTTTAAAAATTCAAAATCATACCAGGGCTCTAAAGCATTTTTGGAATAGGACAGATTCGTAGAGGATAGATGCCTTCAAGGTAAAACTATTGCTGACGCACAGTATTTATTCTTTGAATAGTTCATCTGATGTGCTGTGCAGTGTCGATAACTGTTAACTTGTAGGTGTAACTTGTTGGGCTGTTTTGACTTTCATGTTATCTCCCTAAGTTATTTAGAATCTGTCCCATCCTCCAGTCTCCATTCCCCTTCAAAAAAGAAAGAGAGCTTCCTTAAAGGATTAAAACAAAAATAACACGTTAAATAATAGTCCTTTCATTTCTTTAAATTTAGAACTGATGCTAATAGCTTATGTGATATATTTAATATTAAGATGCTTTTAAAATGATATTGGTTGCCACCATTTCTTCCCTGTAGCTTTTACGTTGTAGTGTAGTTCATATTTAATAGTCTGTGCAAGGTTCTGGTTTCTTTCCATGCAATGTATTGAACAAAAAAATTTTTTTTAAAAATCAAATCTCATGAGTCTCTGATTTACAAATCACCTTGAGGAATTTCCAGTTAATGCTTGTGATGTATTCTGAACACATTTTCCATAGCCAGTTACTAGACAAGCAAGTGTTTTGTTTTGTTTTGTTTATTTTTTTGAGTTGGAGTCTTACTCTGTCACCCAAGCTAGAGTGCAGTAGCACAATCACGACCACTTCAGCCTCTACCTGCCAGGCTCAGGAGATCCTTCTGCCTCAGCCTTCCAAGTAGCTGGAATTACGGGCATGTGCTATTACAAATGACTTATTTTTTTATTTATTGTGGAGATGAGGTCTTACCAAGTTTTCCAGACTGGTCTCGAATCCCCCAGGCTCAAGCAATCATCTTGTCTTGGTGCTGGACTTACAGGCTGAACCACCACACCTGGCTCATTGAAACATTTTTTTTTTTTTGAGTCTGAGTCTCTGTTGCCCAGGCTGGAGTATAGTGTACGTTCATGACCACCACAGCCTCCACCTTCTGGGCTCGGGCAGTCCTTCTGCCTCTGCCTTCCAAGTAACTGGAAATACAGGTGCGTGCCACCACACCTGGCTAATTTTTTGATTTAGTGTAGAGAGGAGGACTCACTACGTTGCCCAGGCTGGTTTCGAACTCATGGGCTCAGGCAGTCCTCTCACCTCGGCCACCCAAAGTGCTAGAATTATAGGCGTGAGCCACCAAGCCCGGCTGAAACATACTTTTAAATGTTATTTATTTAAAAATTTTTTTTGAGTCAGAGTCTCACTCTCTTGCCCAGGCTGGAGTGCAGTAGCATGCTACTCACAGCCACAGCAGCCTCGACCTGCTGGGTTCAGGCAATCCTTCCGCTTCAGCCTTCCAAGTAGCTGAAACTATAGGCACACACCACTACACCTGGCTAATTTTTTTTATTTATTGTAGAGATGAGATCTCGCTAAGTTGCCCAGGCTGGTCTCGAAACCATAGGCTCAGGCAGTCCTCTCACAACCTCCCAAAGTGCTGGGATCATAGGTGTGAGCCAGCACGCCTGACCAAATGTTAATTTTAATACAGTTTTTGATAACAGTATCTACATATGGAATCAAATTTTTACTGCTTCCTTATTAACAAGTGGTACACATGGCTAAATATATTTTTAAATACAGTAGTTACATAAGGCAGTGCAGCCATGTTCCATAAAATAAACTTACTAAATTTGCACCCACATGCTGTCAATTATTGGTAGTTCCTGATTCCCTATCCCAGAATCTCAGAAAAGAATCTTGTACCTGTCTTGGGTCACATGACCACTCTGACCCCAGCTGCTCTGGTTGACTGATAGGATCAGGTAAGGAGATCCAGGAGTTGCCCAAAGAAGTGGGGAGGGCTGAGGCTACCAAAAAGGTCCATGATCCATTGATTCTTAGAAGCTGAAGTTTTGCTTTCTCTTCAGCAAAGTAGCATATTTTGCTTCTTTGTACCTTTGTTGTCCGATGCAAAATGATAACTTATTCTGATTTGTAATTCTTTTATTACTAATGAGGTGAATATTTAACTATTTGCATAATATCTGAAAATATAACTTAAAAGGTTAATTTTCAAGTTGTAATTCTGTTCTGTAGCAAATATAAATTTATTTTTTATGACGCCAGAAAACTAGCAGATTATTATGCATTCATTGTCTTTATAGTAAAAGTTTCATGTTTGAAAAATAGTTTCTTTTATACTATAGACACTTGTATTTCTACAGCACTTAAAATATGAATACTGCCAGGTGCTGTGGCTCACGCCTGTAACCCCAACACTTTGGAAGGCTGAGGCAAAAGGATTGCTTGAGCCCCGGGGTGTGAGACCAGCCTGGGCAACTTGGTGAGACCTCATCTCTGCAATAAATTAAAAATCAGCCAGGTGTGGTGGCGCACACCTATAGTTCCAGCTACTTGGAAGGCTGAGGCAGAAGGATCGCCTAAACCCAGCAGGTCGGAGGCTGCTGTGGCCATGAGCATGCCACTGTATTCCATTCTGGGCGACAGAGTGAGACTCCAACTCAAAAAATAAATAAATACTGTTTTGAAAAACCCATGAACGCTAGATTAGTATTTAAACGCTGTTTGGCCAGGCATGGTGGCTCAGGCCTGTAATCCCAGCACTTAGGGAAGCCGAGGCAGGAGGATTGCCTGAGCCCAGGGGTTTGAGACCAGCCTAGGCAACTTGGTGAGACCTCGTCTCTGCAATAAATCAGAAAATTAGCTGGGCATAGTGGCGCATGCTTGTAGTTCCAACTACTTGGAAGAATGAGATGGAAGGTTCGCCTGAGCCCAGTAGATTGAGACTGCGGTGGCCATGTGTGTGTCACTGCACTCCAGCCTGGGCGACAGAGTGAGACTCCAACTCTAAAAAAAAAACACTGTTCATGTCCAGTTAGGCAGACAATGAAATTTTTTACTTTTCAGCAAAATTCTTTAGATAATCCCTTGATAAGGATAAAAAGGTAAACAGCAAGTATAATTACCTGTATTTCAGTTTCAAGTTGTACCAATGTAGAGCAGAATTTATCATTTTATTTGTTTTAGTCAGGGCGTGGTGGGTTTACCAAGGGATATGCTATATTTACCAAGTATGTAGTAAGCTCTTTCCTCTTCTTTTTACAGGGAATTGATGTTGATGCTGAAAATTGTGCAGTGTGTATTGAAAATTTTAAAGTAAAGGATATTATCAGGATTCTGCCATGCAAGTATGTTCTTTTTATCTACTGATGTTAAAAATTAGTTGACCAATTTCAGGTTTCTGGCAAAAGAGTTCTGTGTTTTTTCCAGTAGGAAGATCTTGCTATCTGTGATCATCTTATCTTTTAGAAAAGAAACTTGGATGCCAGTAGTCTTCAAGTCTCTTTGATACTGCTTGGCTGAGGAGACTCCTAGGTGGCCATTAAGACTCATTAAATATCGGCAGGCTCAGTGACTCATGCCTGCAATCCCAGCATTTTGGGAGGCAGAGGTGAGAGGATTGCCTGAGCCTAGAGGTTCGAGACCAGCCTGGGCAACTTGGTGAGACCTTGTCTCTACAATAAATCAAGAAAAATCAGCCAGGCATTGTGGCACACGCCTGTAGTTTCAGCTACTTGAAAGACTAAGGCAGAAGGATCGCCTGAGCCCAGCAGGTCGAGGCTGCAGTGGCCATGAGTGTGCCACTGCACTCCGCCTGGGTGACAGAGTGAGGCTCAAAAAAAGACTACGAAATATCTCTGCCTGTCATAGATTGGCTTTTAGTCTTCCCGGACGGGGCTTCATCAGAATCCTAGGGATTCCATTATACTTTTAGTAACGCGAAACATAAGCTATTGTTGGGAACAAAGAAACTGAAGAATTGGGGAGATAGCCTGACACAGCCAGAAGCAAGTGGACTTGGGCGGGCGATGGTTAACTGTTATTTACACACTGGACTTGGGTCTTTCAGAGGTTATGTAAAATAAATATTCCTTCCTTTACTCTGGTTATCCTAGGGGTTTTGAGTGATGGGAGGTTGCATTTTTAAAAAAACAATGGGATACTTTAATTGATAACTTTTCAAAAGCATTGCTTTGTTAGCAGAAAAGTTTGTGTACAGAATTATGTTTTAGGTCTAAACGATTTTAATTATACTCCATACCTATTAGAAGCAAGTTACAAGTTAATATGTAATGTGCTTTGCACAGTGTGTGCAAGTTCTTTGGTAGATTAAACTTCATGGTAACTGTGAAGGAAATGCATCTGGATAGCAAAATGAAAGTTTCCTGAATAAAAGTAGCTGGTCTCAGTACACAGACCTTTATATGGGGTTGGAGGGGTAGGAACTCAGTGAATTGAGGTCAGTACAGGGTGGTCACATCCTCTAGAAACTAGTTTTTCTCTAGGTTGGCTTAGGGCAAGTCTTTCTGACTTACAAGCAATGCTCGGTTGCCACACAGATGAACTGCACTAGGTAATGCTAATGGCTGAACTGGGATTTGGACTTGACCCTCAAACACAGGCATGTACATTTCCTGGTCTCTACTGGGGTTTGACTTCCTCCCCCATCTTCTCCTGTGCTTTATGTAACACATGTCCCAATAAAGCCAGCATATTTGTGTTTTTGTAAAAAATTACTCCCTAGGTACTATTATTTTTAACTGTTAGTATATTTGTGTGTAAATAAAAGGTCTTCAGACAACAGTAATACTGAACAATTACCGAGTGTGTTCTGTGCCTGGCACATTTGCACGCAAGTGGTGTGTGCCCCTCTGAGCAGCCTCTGGTGTGGGGCAGAGAGGGTGGGAAACTGGCTGAGTCATGGCCATCGAGTCTGACAGCTGGTGTCTCAGTCTAATCTGTCTGGATCCAAAACCCATACGCTTAACTTTTTTCTTTATCACTTGTAGAAAACAGATTAATCGCATGGGAGGAAATGTTAGCTAACTAGCTAACTAAGACAAATGAGTAAAAGAAGAAAATATATATGCCTTTTTCTTTGTTTATTCTGAAAGTGATAGGTGCTCACTATAGAAAAATGTAGAGTATATAAAAATGTGTAAGGGAGAAAATAAGTGGTTTTTAAGCCTACCACCCAAAGAGGATTTCTCAGTGTTTTGCTATATTTTCTTTTAGTCATTTGAAGAACTTTTATAAGATACTGTCTGTTTTTTTAATTAGTTTATTACTATAGTTTATGTCCCATTTAGTCCCAGAAGGCTTTCAAATAACTTAACAAAGGCACATTAAAAAGTGTAGTGTAGCATGAGGCCACAAAAACCCATGTTTTTGATAGAGTGAGGGGAAAATTTCCCCAGAAGCGCCAGCGTATTGGATTCATAGAATCAATAAATGACCTAGGATAAGTGAGAAGACTAGAATGTTGATTTGACATCAGCTAACTTGTAATGAGAGGATAAGTTGGTAGAATGTCTTATTTCCTATATAAGTTATATAAACATTTGTTTTAAAACATTAACACATACTTAATTTTTTTAGGCATATTTTTCATAGAATATGCATTGACCCATGGCTTTTGGATCACCGAACATGTCCAATGTGTAAACTTGATGTCATCAAAGCCCTGGGATATTGGGTTTGTTACATTTTTGTTTATATTCAATCTTTGCCCCAGTTCTTTCTGAATGATTCGATTTCAATATTGACCAGAGGCATGAGGAATGGGCGAAATGCTCCTTCTAACATCCCTATGGTTCTCTGAAGAAATTTTCCTCATTATTAAAAATGAATTCTTAAGGCAATCCAAAAAAAAAAAAACCAGTGAAATAAAGCTGTAGTGATAGGATAATATGCTCGATGTTTCCCAGAGTTTGTAATGACTTAGAGCAATATGTTTTAGTCTCCTACGCTGCAGAATGTGTATATGCAAGCTAGTTTTGTATGAGCAAGAAACATGAAATGTTTGAAATGGAAGGAGCCCCTTGAATGGTCTAGCTTAGTGTGCACATTTCACATGAGAAGAAACAAGCCAGTGCTGCTTGAAGTCAGTTCTCCTATTCCAGGGTTTCAGAATCAAATATTGCTGGGGACACCTGCCCAGCCTTGAATTTGGTCCATCAGCTTGTGATACTTAGATGGTCACAGGGCTTTCTTCTGAAGACGTGAGGGCAGATGAAAGAGGGATCATGTCAGCAGCGCGCCGTGTGCCAGGTGCCTCACATACGTTATGTTTAACCCTTGCAGTGCTGTATGAAGTGCTGTTACTGTCCCTGTTTTACTACTTTGAAACTTGAACTTAGAGAAGCTAAACAACTCACCTAAGGTTACATCTTTAAATACAAGTTTGCTTAATTCCAGGGTCTAAGCTCTGAACTGTTACCCTACCCAAAGAGGGGGATGTAGAAAGAAAAAATAGCTTTTTCAAGGTGGTTCTATCTTTTATTGTTTTTAGGGTCTCCATACAATCTCTGGATGTCTCAAAGTGATTAAATAATAAACAGTGTTTAAATAAACATCTTTGGAAAAACAATTTAAAATCCATTATATTTCTCTTGTTGCTGAACATATTTTCAGAGTTTTTAAAAAGAGTTTATTGTAGAATGAGAAACCCCAGTGTTTTATGATGATTATTTTGTGCAGCCTTAAAAAGCCACAATGGCCATCTGAGCTTCTGTAATGGCATCACTATAGAACCCACCCATAAAACAAGACTACGTTTCCCGGGCTGGAGTTCTGCTTAAAATGCCCTCTTCTACCTCGGTATTCTTCAAAAGATAGAGAGCGCTTCCCTAGTAATTACCGTATTTTCTATGAATTAGGTTTTTTTAATTGTGAGTTCCAGAACTTCTTCACTATATGCACACGGAAAGGGGGAAGGTTCATGTTCAAAGACTCTCTTACTAGAAACTCACACTGTTTTGATGTCGAGAACAATTGTCTTTCCTCTAGAATTGCTAGGTTTCATTTATTTATGCAACTTTGGTTAGCATAGCATAACAACCTTTCTTAATGAACCTGACTTTCCCTCTTTTCTCTTAGGCAAGTGACTGAGCCTTTGTGGGCTAGCATCTTGGATATTAGAAAGCAGCAAGCTTGACAGATGTTTTTTCTTGGCAGAGTTTTAGAACTCTTTTCCTTCATTAACTACACTCTAAAGCTCATTTTAAGTTGCTTTCTTCATTAGTCAGTACCTTTAAACCTGCTTTTCATTTCTAGGCATTTCTATAAGTGGAATTTCACTGACCTTAGACCAGAGACTTTCATGACCTCATGAGTTTTGGGAATAACCTGCATATATATTTCATATATTAAAAAATCAAGATTCTTCATCTTACACAGGTTGAGTTTTCTTAGAACGTTAGTTCAGAAAGATAGAATATGTATCCCCAGAGTGCCTAATCTATTTTTTGAAGAACAGAACCTATAGTAACTTTATTTATTTATTTATGTTTGAGTTGGAGTCTCACTCTGTCGCCCAGGCTGGAGTGCAGTGGCACACTCATGGCCACCCCAGTGTTGACCTGCTGGGCGCTGCTGATACTTCTGCCTCAGCCTTCCAAGTAGCCAGAACTACAGGCACTTGCTACCACGCCCAGCTAATTTTTGATCTGTTGTAGAGACAAGGTCTCACCAAGTTGCTCCTGCTGGTCTCAAATCGCGGACTCAGGCAATCCACTTGCCTTGGCCTCCCAAAGTGCTGAGATTACAGACTGAGCCACCAAGTCTGGCCTGTAGTAACTTTAAGAAATGTACTTGTCTTGGCTTTAACTTCTCAAATCTTTAGACGATATGTCATTTCCTTTAGACGGTTGGCCCACCCTGCCTTGGACGTTTGAGACAGCCGTACCCTGCTCTCTTGGAGTAGCTAGTTCTAGTGTCCTCTTACCCCTAGGGAGAGTCGCCAGCAGTCCTTCCTGCAGACTTGAAAGGCAGCCTCGTAGCCGTTCCCTGTGCTGCTTGCCCCTTCTTTCCGTTCACCTGGCAAGCGTCGGTCAAAGGAATGCCATCGAAGGTGTCGGATCTGAGCTTGGCTCAGGGGAGACAGAGGACTGCGACACAAGCCCTCCCCTCGTGGGCTCGTGGGGATTTTACCCTCCGGGCGGGCAGGGCGTCAGGGCACACAGGCAGGGCCCGGCCGGAGAGCCCGTGGGAAGGGCCGCGGCGGGGGCACAGAGGAGCTGTCCCTCGGTGCCGCCCGTGGAGGCGGGGAGACGGAGGGGAGGTCCGCGAGGGCAGCCGGGCTGGCGTTCCGGGGCCCGCCGGACACAGCGGGGCGGCAGCCGGCAGC